CCTGTAGCAGTAACAGCCTGAAACCTGGATGGCAAATTGGAGCCCTGTTGTACTCTGTTCTGTGGTAAAGGTAACAGGAGTAGACAGTCCCTGCTCCAGCCTGGATCCACACCCACCACAGTGCTCCCACTCACATGGTGATTCACAGACAGTGGCAGGGAAGGGTCTGATTCTGTCACACCAGAATGAAAAGTGACCTGACAAGGCATAACCTGTGTGGCATACCTTTGAATTGTGTTTGGAAGGGAGTACAGGTTGTCAAAGGCACTCAAGGTGCTTAACTGACATACACTGGGGATCTGAGAGAAGCAAAAAAAGCCAGGAGAAAACTGTGGCTCCTTGGAGGTCCTGCTTAGCTGCTGGTGGCAGTGGCTGCTGGCCCCACATCAGCACCCTCTGATTGCTGCCCACTCTGGAGGGAGAGGTGAAGCTGACACTGAGGGGGCAGTGCCCAGCCCACAAACCTCCAGGAACACAGCTCCTGCATCTCCCTGCATCGCCCATCACCCCCAGGGCCCTCTGGGAGCTGCATGCCCATCCATCATCAACCACCATGGCTGGTGCTGGGCCCAGCACTCTCTGCCCTCCTGCCCTGGCCATGGCCAAGCTGGGCCAAGGTGAGGATGTGATACTGAAGTGGTCATGCATGTGGTGATGGTGAGCAGGGGCTCAACACCCACCTCCTGACAAGCACCTCACCAGCTGCCTGCTCACACAGCCATGGCTGCTCCCACCCACTTTTTCTCTTTTTTGTTCTGGTTGTGTGGAGTTGGGTGGAACACGAGTGCAGCAGGGTTTGAAGCTGCATTGCTTGGCAGCTTCTGTCTGGGAAGGACAAGCAGCAGGGACATGATGGAGGGGTGAGCTGGGGATGGGCTTGGTGTGCTGGCACAGCTCAATCTAACACTGCCTCTTCCAGGTGGCCCTGCTGCCTACATGGGCTCCATGCCACTGAGGACTGGGGACTGCACCCATGGCACGGAGGGAGAAGAGCCAATCACTGGAATCAGCAAAGAGCAAAGAAGCCCACAATGACAGTGCTCAAATTCATAGACATTTATTTTTGCCTCTGTACAGAACACGGCTGCGATTGTAATAAGGCATCAAATGCACTACTGAACAGCTCATGATGGACTGTGATGTTTCACCCCATTGTGAATCAGTCTTACAAAATTAAACCAGTTGCTTTCTTAGTCAGTAAACTCATTGCAGACAGATTTTGAAAAGAATTACAAAGACTAAAAAATTGTAAACACGTAAAAACCCAGCAACAACCCAGTGTAGCTTCCTAGGAGAGTCTTGGGCATTTCTGCCACGGGGCCGGCTTCAGGCTGGCAGGAGCAGGCGAGGCTGGTGGGAGACACGCTGGGCGTCCACAGCGTGTGGGCTGGGATAGTGCAGTGACAGCCTCTGTCCTGGTGAGCATCCCCAGCAGATGCCATGCAGCTCCGAATGTCCAGCCTCAGCCACGGCGTCTGAGCGAGAAAAGGGAACTGAGAACACGGGTGAGCAGGAGGGAGCTGTCTGAGCAGCAGGGAGCCGGACACCGGCAGCCTCCCTTCCCACAGCTCAGGGAAGCACGGACACCCCCAGTGGGAAGGTAGAGACCAGGGCTGGGCCCAGCCAGCAGACATGCCATGAGGTAGAAATTGGGAAAGTGTCATATTTGGCAGCTGGGGCTGGTCAGAAATACACTAAGGGCACAAATCCTGTTCTGTTTCCAGGGTACTCAGAAATCCATATTCAGAATCAGATGTTTAGAGGGCACCTAAAACCCACTCAGTATATGCCAAAATTTAGTTTCCCAAAAAAGGAGAAAGCTCTCCAATGAATCAAGTGACAACTTTAGCCCAGGCAGTGAAAAAAGCACCAAGAATTCTTCTACTATTTGTATCTTTACAACATTTAAATTTTGAGCAGGGGAAGTCAAATCGCGAGGGTGCATGAGGGGGCAATAAACGTCCCTTGGCCTCGCCCTTTGGTACCATCTCATGTGAGGTGAATGCTGTGAAGGCCTGGCCAGTGGGTTCATACATTCATTTCCACCATCAGCCACCAGACAGCAAGAGCTTTGGTTTCTGTCTGTGTTTGGTTTCACAGCACGAGAACCTGAGAGTCCAGAGGTTTTATATTGCACCACTAACTCACAGCATGCTGCAATTTCTAAAGTGATCAGAGAAATGTCCCGAGCATTTTTATCTGATAAATTCCTGAGCTCTGAAGGCCTTCCTTCACCTCTTTCATAGCACACACTTACACCAAAATAAAGAAACTCTGTTAGTCCTGTTGTTTAAATTTTATTACTCCTTACACTTCTGCAGTGTACATTTAGATTATTAGGTTGAATAATATTTCCTTAAGATGCTCAGGGAAAATTTCAGGGTTCATTAAAGTATTGCAGGTTCATGATCTGTGACAGGCATTTTACAAAGTGTCAGAAAACTTCTCACTTGACAATAACATACTGACAGTTCCTTTTTCTAGTGCTAATAATCAGCATTAAGGCATGTCATGGTTCCTGCAAGAAATCTGTGATCCTTACAGCTTAAGCTGACATCTTCCTGCAATAATGGAATGTATTCCAATTTAATGCATATGTATAATAAAAAATAAAAATAATAGCTCTCAAAACCACCAGCCTCAGTTTTAGAGCTTCTGTCACGTAGGTAAGAACATGGGGTCCAGGCAGGCGAAAGGGTTTTCATGCCCCGAGATGTCTGTCCCCTGCCTTACACCACCTTGCTGACCCCAGCTCAGCAACATTTGCCCTCTTGCTTGGCATGGCTTTCCCTGGGAAGGCCAGGCCCTTCCCATCCTCAGGGGCAGGATGAGAGGAAGTGATGTTCCCACTTGCCCACCTTGAGAAGTGTCAAGCTGTGCAGCCTGTGTTCACATACCTCACCCACCGGCCAAGGCCAGCAAAAGAGGAACCTTCCTGCTCTGCATCCAGATTCTCAGGGTAGTTCCTTCCTCTCTAGTACTGATCACAACAGGCTGAGGTAGCTTCCAGATATAAGACATTTTATGTAATTATCCTAGAGATTCAATTAGGAATCTCTGATGACACAGCCAGAAGGATGTAAGCTCTTCAAAGATGACTGTGGAGATGCAGGTCACTGCTGAGTTACTGCCTGAGAACACACTGTGTATCATGACATAAACTGAGAATCATTTACTGGGCAGCAGCACCCTTTAATAAGGCAGCTCATTTAATTATGCAGTAACACTGACCTCAAGCTGCAGTTGGAGCAGAGAAGATGTGAAGCAAGATCTCTTTTGCAGGGCCAGTGTTACAGCCTGGGTACCACACAATGGAATTTGCTGACCAAAGGTGTGAACCTGGTGCAGGGCAGCTCCTTGGGACCTTGGTCACCTGCAGCCAGCAAGCACAAGGGACTGAACTAATGGAGGCAGACTTGGGTGCTGCACTTGTCTCCTGACAAAAACCAGAGAAGCAGAACAAAGAACCAAGTGGCAAAATAGTGTTCAGTCTCTCTGTGAGGAACCCATGTTTCTGCCATCCACTTGTTATTCTGGACTTTGTGCTGCCACATATTACTGGGTAAAGGGGGCATAAAGGAAATCTCCTCCCACCTTCCCAAAAGAACTCTTCTCCTGTGTGTCACAGTGGGAAAAATGGTGTTATTTTAAAAAATGGTGTTATTTTAAAAAATGAATTATTTTAAAAATAATTCATATTCCTGATATTTTGGAGTTAACTCACAACTGAGAAGGCTGTCATAATGAAGCACATTTCTTGTAAGACTGCAGTCAGAGACTACACAGACAGAGGTCTTCACCCATGTTTGGCTTTGGCAGGGACACATACACATATAGCAGACATATACATATTAACAAGACATATATATATATATATATATGTATGTATGTATGTATGTATATGTATTAACCATTGCTCAGTAAGAACTGGTTTTCCCAGCACTGCAAGAACACATCAAAGTTATCAATGCTCTCCAGAAAATGGCTGGTAATAAAAGCAAATAGCATCAGTTGTACAGGTTTTGGCTACAGTGCCACACAACTGAGATTAATAGCAACACGTACCCTTGATCATCCCCTATGCTGAGTTTCTTGTCAGCCAGTAAACTGCCTGATGCTTAACCTCTGTATTTCCTGATGATTTATTCTTTACACATAAATTGGGGTTTATTGAACAAGTCTCAAGAGAGCTCCTTCCTGACCTCTCCTTGCTGGTTATGAGAAGGGTGAGAGCCTAGTGACATAAAGCTGAAGTTTCAAAAAGGACTAATAAGATGCAGACAGCCTCAGTATAAGCAAAGCCCTGTAGCTGAGCTTGAATTTCTTCTGGCATGTGTACCGAAAAAGTGTCCAGTCTCAGCATCCCTATGCTTTTTCAGTCTTTGGGTCTTTTGAGACTCCAAACAAGAGGTCTGTTAATTCATGTTATGGCAGTTTTCATAGAAAGACATCTGTCCACCAGGAACTAAACTTCTTTTATATGGGTCACTATAGCTATCAGAAGTTAATGACTATCAATCATTGCTAATCTGAACTGAAATGGAGCCGCTGACCTCAAGCTGAAAGAGCCTTTTGTCTCCTACCAGCACCAAGAGCCATATGGTTTCCTGCCCTCTGCCTCTTATTTCATATTTTAAATAATCATCACTAATTGTACAATTGTTTGAAAATATGGGAGGTTTGTGGCCAGCCATGACCAAGTGGTGCTCTTTCTTCCCATAGCTGTTACTTAATTGAAGAGAAGGGATCTGCTTAAAATAAAAGAATAAAAAAGCATCTCTTAATGAAATATTAGCCCTACCATTTAATTATTGGTCCTGCTCTTAATATTCTGTCAAGTAGAATGTTAATAATCTTGCAGGCTTCAAAAATTAACAGCTTTGAAAGTGTCAAGGTCATTCTTGTTCTATATGGGAGTAATAAGAAAATTATATAGGCAAGACACCAATGGAATGTTTTATATTATGATAAACGAGTATCTGAGGAACCTACTTATCACAAGTCTCTTTTTATTCAGTGGTTTTCATTATTTTATATGATTTGCATTTCATCTGGCACAGTTCCCCTTTACAACAAGTACTCATATATTGCAAACATTTGATTATAGAGCTTAAGATAACACCATTCTTGTCAGACAAATAAACTGCATCACCAGCTATCTTTAGCTGCATCTGCTTTCTTTAATGAAACATATTTTCCTGTAGAAATGCTGCCTTAAAAATCATGACCACACTAATTATCTATGGCAAGCACATCTTCCTCAACTAACGACAGCTCGAGCATATTATCATTTGCTCCAGACTTCATTCTAAAATTGAAAGATCCATACAGCTTTGCAGACTCCTTGGAGGATGCAAACCTGCTCCTCCGGTACAGCTCCCCTTTCCACATGGACATCATCAGCAGGCTGGAGAGCACCACGCCCCCCAGGGTTAAGAGACACAGCCCAGCGATAACACAGCGGTCCAAGTGAGCACCGATCCTTGCGCTCTCGTTCTCCAGCCTCTCCATCTCCCGGGCAGCCACAGTGTTGGGATCCACAGTCACATCTCTGGGTACCACGTAGGAAATTATCACCAGCAAAATGCCACTAACCAGGAACAAAATGGCACTAATGAATCCATAGTCAACGGATTTCCCAGCTGCTGCCTCCGAGGCAGCATCGTCCTCCTCAGAGACCAAGGAAGGAGAATCGTGTGCCCATTCAGGTGGCAGCTCCCTGCAGGAATGCTGCTGCAGAGGGGCATCCTGGCCACCTGTAGGAGTGGGGGGACTTCTTGCATGCTCCAGATTTACATTTTCATCCACATAAGTGAAGGATGTCTCGAGTTCCTGGGCACAGCAGCAGGCTTTCTTCTTCCCTCCATCCTCTTCCCTGGACAAGCTCTCGGCTGGGTGGCAGGGCTGGGAGGGGGCAGGGTGCTCCTGGGGCAAGGTGCCCAGGGAGGAGGGCTGGGATGCCAGGGGGGGCTCGGCCACAGGGCCCCTCTGCAAGGGCTTGCAGTGCCGTTCACAGTGCAGGGCTGCCACGGCAGCGGCTGCTCTGGGGTCCACCTCACCCCCCTCACACTGCTGCTGCTCGTAGGGATGGGGGGGCAGGCTCCAGCCAGTAGTGGTGCCCAGGGGCACCTCTCTGCTCTCCTCGGCCAGGTAGAGAAGCTCCATGCAAGCCATCGACCTTGTCCCCACGAGCCTCACCTCCTGGGCTACGGCATCCTCCAGCAAATGCTGCCCCTGACCTGCAGAAGCGGCTTCACAGTACTGGCGCTGCTGTATCCCAGAAATTTTCTTCACCACTTTTTCACCAACGTTTTGTTAGGGACATGGCTTGTGTCAGCTGTTAAATGATTAAACAAATCCTCTCTGACTTTCATTTCTTTTCGGTCTGCAAATGAAATAGCACAGGGGGAAAAAACAACAACAACAAAACCAAACCCGACAACCTCACGATGATACGTTAATGAACCAAAGGGAAGATAACACAAATGTAATACATCAGCCCTCCTCTCAACTGTTTGAGGGGAGACAGCAAACACGATTGTTTTAACCACGCATTTAAAACTGCAATCCTCTGGCAGATCCAAAATCTATTAGGGAATCTAATCAACCTTTGACACCACTATCCAATTAAGGCAGTAAGTATGCACAGAGCACGGGATAACCAAAAAACTGTGTAAAATGTCAGAGAAAAGATATGTCTGTTCTTTTAGAAGCATATAACTCCCATCCCCCCCTTCCAAATAAAGAATTTTACACTCAGATTCACAGACTAATTAGAAAGAAACACGCAAATCCCATGTAGCTCAATAATCCAGGATCTGTATTCTCCGGTGGAAATCTGATAATCCTATGGGAAAAGCAGTGCTTTCCTATATAAGATCTACCATTCATCTAAGAGCTTTTGGAATGAAATTATGCCTCAAAGACTGATGACTCAAAGACGGATATTACTTCTCATCTGCAATTAATTCGTTATTACCCCTTTCGCCTGGGCCCCATCCCCCTCGAGGCCGCCCGGTGTCACGGGGCGAAGCCTGCAGCCCGACAAATGTGTTGCATGCGTAGGAAACACATGTGCGTCTATAGCACATACGTGATCGCTCACAGCCGCTGCTCACTCACGCTCTTCTCGGGACCTCAGCGAGAACCGGCCGCGCTGGGATAAGCGATTCCCGCCGGCGCCGGGAGTAGCTGGATCCACCCGCCACCGAGTGACCCGAGCGATACCGAGGTGAGCGGCGCGCAGACACGCACGGGCACACACGCATCCCCGGCGGGCAGGAGCGCGCCGCCTCCTCCCGCTGCTGCTCCGCCTCCCGCTGCTCCTCCTCCTGCCCGCGGGGCTCTCACCTGCCCGGCGCGGCGCCGGCCCCCGCACGCACACACGGACAACACGGACACACGGACACACTCACCTTCCTCCTGCCCGCCTCCGCCACCGGCCGCGCCCCCGCCCGCGCTGCTCCCAGCGACCCCAGGCGGCCCGGCCCGGCCCGGCCCGGCCCAGCCCAGCCCAGCCGGGCAGTGCCGGGGCGGGCGGGCTCCGCTCGGCACGCCGGGAGCTGTAGTCCGCGGGCGGCGGCGCTGCGGCGGCAGCGCCCGGAGCCGCGCCCGCCCCGCGGCCCCGGGGCTCGGTCGCTGCCCGCGGGTCGCGGCGCCCGGGCTGCAGTCACCGCACAGCCCCGCCGGGGGCCGGAGCGGCCGCAGAGCAACGTCCGTGCCGCCGTATGCGTGCGTCTAGCTCAGTCATGACCCGGAGTTGTTTTCCATAGTCTTGGGAGCTCACGACTTACTCCAGGGAAAGATAAAATCAGATTTTCAAGTGATCCCAAAACTGCTGGAGTTGAGACGTCAAGGGACGTACCCTCTTTCTTACTGGAAAATCTCAGGAGCTCGCCCGTGTTGGCAGATTGTCCACGCACTTCCTCTGGCCAGCATAAATGACTATTAAAAAAAAGACTGTTGCCAAAAAATACATAATAAATGAATGACCATTTCATTTTCAGTATGAACCTTCACTGAGTTCTCTTGCCAGTGTTTTTCCTTTGGCAGTGTTAGTGATAAACTAGAATAGGAAAATAAAGTATGGAGTAGTCTGAACTGAAGGTTTATCAGAGCTGAATACTGTGCTGTTGTGGAAAAACCAAGCTCTGGGGAGACAAAGAGCAAGCATGGGCAGAGGCACCTTTGTCATGGAGCTGAAATGAGGGTGCACACAGAAATAAGAAGTGAGCAGCACCTGCCTGCATGGCTGTTGGGCAGGAAAGCAGAAGCTCAAGATGAAAAGTGAGCTGGGGAGGAACCAGAAGAGACAAACACAGACCATCTGAAGGAGTTGGCCTGATATCGGAGAACAAGGTCATTCTCTGTAAGGACTCTTTGCCAGTTCTGAAGTAATGCATTAAGCAGTCAAACCAGGTTTGAAGACATACCCTGTGAGACCCAAAACACCCAGTACAGAAGGTTCAAATCTTAGTGGGAGTAACTCCCATGAATGTCAAAATTACTTGCCAGGACATGGTAACAGTAGGGCACTCGCGGTGCCCATCACACAGATTGCTCGGTGCTCTGGGGTTCTTTGGATATAATTTCAAAGCAGCTCCAGGCAGTGTTTCCATTAGCAAAGTGCAGTTTCAATGCATTAAATAGTATATTATTCACCCTTTGAAGAAAAATTGTAAGGAGAAAATTATGGATGTGGGAGAATGGTGCAGGCTCTCCTTGGAGCTTTTTAATAACAGTGCCCTCTTTGAGATAAAAATAAAGGAATAAATAAAACATAATCAAAGAAACAAAAAAGCCTGAACAAAAAATTGTTCAAATAGTTTCAAGTAAAAGTGAAGACAGAAACAAACTCTCTTTAAGTCTATTGCACATTTTCATTTGGGAATTAGCAGGATAGGAACATACAGATGTTGGGCACTGACACTGCAAGCTGCACCTGCTGCATCTGATAGACAAATCTTAATTAAATGACTCACAGGAAAAAATATGGTGCTCAGCACTGGCAATGCAGCCTGGAAGAATGAGAACACCTTTCCTGGGCCCTGGCACAGCCTCCCAAGTCCTTGGGTGGGTATTGTCTTTCTGACAGCTGATACAAAGGCAGGAAATTGTCTGCACACAACAAATGGTGTCATTCCTTCAAAACCCAGGAGCTACAGCATGTACTCTTGAGCACTTACTAGAGCCTTAGTGACTTGGTATTTAACCACACAAACATCTTGCTGTGCTACCGCCCACTCTCCTCCCCGTTTTGTGCCAGCGTGTGTTGGGCAAGTGTATTAATTTGTTGCTGAAAATTGTAGTCCCACAAACTATGGAGCAAACAGAGGGAACCACAACTCTGTCAAGCCAAGTGCTGTCTATTCTAATGTGCCTTCCCATGTGGTGCTATGTCTCCTTTTCCTAGTAGAGTTCACTCACTCTTAGAGCAAAATCACTGTCTAGTCACAATTCATATTACTGACATTTCATTTTCTTAACTTTGCATGCAAGGAGTTAACAGCATTTTCTTGTAACAAATGTGATTGTTGCCAATGCTGCGAGGTGTGGAGGTGGTGAAATGAATGCATAGCAACGTGTACTCTGCAAACACAAGTACAGCTGGTGAAAAGATTAATCAAGTAAGGGCGGGAGTAAGAATATTTGTCACAGGAAGAAAGTGGCTATGTAGAGCTAAAAACCAGAGTGATGGACACACAATGGGACAGGAATAAAAGACTGGAGTAGACTGTCAGAGTGGATGAGCCTTGTTCTCTCTGCCCTAGCCTACCACATAATACAGCCCTTTCAGACACTGAGCAGGGCTATGGTAGCAACACTGATAATATGGAATCTGACAGTCGGCTGATAAAGGTGTCTCCGTTGAGATACGTGCAATTAAATTTAAACCATGCTCTGGAGCATCTTGTAAGCTCTCCAAGTTGGCCTAACTGTAAATGAGCATGTAAACTAGGTGTACATGGTTTTTTCCCATTCTCAGTAACCTATGGCCACCATAAAACTGTAAGGACGCTTGTGAGAAACTAAAGGTTGTTTCACACTTTCTGTTTGAAGCCTCACTGAGGGCCAGACCTGAGGGCTTTAGAGGAACCAGACAAAACTGGAACAAGTTTTCTGAATGGTACATCCCATCATGGTGTGATAGAGGATATTTTACTTGCTATCACCAATTCAGGGAGTTTTCCAGTGTTATATGGGATCCTCAGTGAAGCATTCCTCCAAACATTTTTATTCTTTTTTCCCTCTCTGTCTTTTAACATGTATACAGAGTTGTTCAATGATCTCATTTTCACAGAATCTTCAATTTATTGCCTTGCACAGCCACAGGACCTTGTGTTGCCAGTGGTCCTTGTGCAAGTGTTGCAGGACTGCAGAGCTTCTAAAATAAAGGGGCACTCCAGCCAGTGTGGCTCAGAGAATAATACATTCAGAGAAATCTAGAGAGAGTATTGCATAAACTTCCCATTTCCACTTGAATAGATCATACTGTTGAGTAAAGTAAATTGGCTAGGGAGTCAATAACATGGGGCTGCAGAAAAATTTAATACATATTAGAGAAATACATGGACCTGTGTACTGGTCTGTGAAAAATAACAAAGGTAATAGATGGGAATGAAGATCAAAATAAAAAAAAATAACAATTCACCATTTCTGTGTGTTTAAAACACATTACTGTCACAGATCAATAAATGTCACAGATTAGGTAAAGCAAAAGTAGACAGGAAAGCAGTTTAATTCTGCTTTGGTTGATTCACTAATGCACATCTGTTGTACATTAATAAAAGACACAATAAGTAAATAATTTTACAGAGATACAAGAAACCATAGATGTGTAATATGATGTTCCAGAATTGCCACAAGTAGGTTAAATCCTTGATAAAGCTCTATGCTTCTCATGTCTGAACGTGTGAAATTGTGGTTTGGGTAAATAGAGCTCCTGAGGATGAACAAAAAAACTCAGTCTTGGTCTTAGAGCAAAGGATCATCTGGAGGAGTAAAGGGCCTGTTGACCACTTGGAAAACACAGTAGTTGTAGCCCCACTCAGGAACTAGTGCAGGACAGTAGGAATTATTGAGCTGTCAGGCTGAGGTCTGCTCCCTGGCACAGCACCTGTGGAGCCTTTACTGGCCATTAAGGGCCAGGTCTGGATGTCCCAGGGCTGCTGTTTCCCACCTGCTCTGTGACTCAAGACAACCTGACCAACCCCACTACCACAGGTTTTATTGTTGATCCTGACCAGCCTCCCTGCTTTCCCCCTTCAGGAGCTCATACTCAGCCGTTTTCCCTTCTGAATCCCCCAGCACCTGAGCACCCCTGTGTCAACAGCCCTATCCTTGGCTGTGCCTTGATTGTTCTGGAGTCCTGCTGACTCTCACAGCTCTGTCTCAGCAGTCTGGGCTCAGGGTCCCCAGTGGGACATGGCCAAGCTGGCCCTGCTGTGCCCAGAGCAGACTGACTGCTGAGTGCCTGGATGCCACTGAGAGTGCCTAAGCCTTGGACACTGGGGTGCAGGAGGCACCTTCTGCCTCCCTGTGTGCCCCCAGAACGCTGAGCACTGAGCTGTATGATCTGAAAGAGTCTTGACAGAGCCCAAACAGCTCCTCCTTGCTGTGACCTTGGGATTGCCACGTGTTTCTTCTGCCCACTGATGGGGAAGGACCAGCACTGTGCTGTCACCATGTTGTGAGAGCCAAAGTTACCATTCATTTCCCACTGTGGTCATACCTGAGACATAAAGGACACCTTTCTCCCATGGTCAGCCCACAAATTGAAGACTACAGCCCTGAACCCTCTGTGGCTGCTGAGTGCCAGGTGTCATGCACATGACTGACTGCTGTCATTGCCTTTTTCAGGTGTTTTCCTGGATGGTTATTCTCTTCACTTTCCTGCACACTTGCATGGAAAGACAGAATCACCTAGAGTAATCACACATTAGATCTGGGAAATTTAGTCCAGCTGTTATTCTGTACAGAAAGACCTAAAAATACTAATTATAGAATGAAGGAATGTAAAGGGAAAGTGAAATAATAGACTACCCTGGAGGGAAGCCCAGGTGAAAATCAGAGGCCGCTTAGGAGAGAAATAAATCACCAAGGAGATTTTAAGCAAGGGATTTAAAGGATAGAGAATAGTGCAGAAATAAAAGGGGACTGCAGCATAATATGAG